AACACAAATACTATAAACAGTTCCATTCAGTTTTATTATGTACAAGCAGTTTGTTCTTGTGCAAACAGAATAAAATACAAATATAGGTAAACTCAACACATATAAGTTAAATTTATAATATGTCTACAATCTACATAGGTATTTAAGATTCTGAGCGGAACGATGAATATATTGAGTTTATGATAACGTGTATTTTCTTTTTTGTGTGTATGTGTCTGTCATCTGCACCTTATTGAAACAGTAAAAATGTTTAGATTTTTAGCTTTAAATGTGTTAATTGAATTTGGTTGGTACTCTGAAAGAAAGAGGGAGAGATCAAAACTAAGAAATTCTCAATAGGTATTTTTTAAGATTGTCGAGAAAAACCAAATTATTTCCGCTAAATTAGTTATAAATTTATTTTTTTATTTTGTTATAATTTAATAACAAATAACCATAAAAATTTTATCTCCAAGTGTTCATATTATCATTTTCTATATAAAATACAAATGATAATAAAAATATAGCAAATTTCATCAAAGTAGCGAAAATCGACAAATAATTTTTAATATTCATACCTAATATATGAAATATAAATAGAGTATAAATTTTATTTCAATAACTTGTTATAATATATTTTTAAATGTTATGGCTATTTGAGGCTTGAGCACAAAATTTGAAATATTTACAAATAACAATTAATTATTCAATAACACGGAATAGACATCTATATAATATATGTATAATTGATATGTGAGTAATATTTTTGTAAAATAGATAGATGTTTCAATGTTTGTATTTATAGTATAACTATACTTAGGTCTAGATGTAGAAAATATACGTTTCCTGTTATTTGGGAGCCACCGCCTACTGTTGTCTGTTTGTAGTGTTTTTTTTTTTTTTTTTTTAAGCCCGGTAACTCAAGTCATTAGCTGTGGACAGGGACAGTAAGTTTTTTGGGTGCCTAGTGTTTATTTTTTTAAGGTTGGAACTTGGAACACGTGTGTGACTGTGTGTATGTACCTACGGGCCGTGGATTCGTCATTAAGAACGAGGGTGATCAATGATCACCTCATCCAAAAGTTAGCGACGCTGGCCGATGCAAGTGTAAACGTAATATGTGGCAGCTGTATGATAAATAGTTGGAATTTTTAGATCATTATGCGTGGGTGTGGGGGATGTCTAATTTCCCTCCCCATTCATGATTTTTCAATATTTATTCGGAAAATTTGACACCTGGTTAAAGTGGTCTGCAATTCGGTATCGTCAGGATTTTGATAGTATATTTATTATTTTATAAGAATACACCGAATTCCAAAAATAGATAAATTTATCTATTACCAGACCCGTTGACTTATTCTTAGTATTATACAATATTAATTTATTATTTTTGCAATCTGCACTTTTGCAATCAATAGTAAGATGTCGTGTATTCGACTATTGGTCTAAGCCAGGGGTGTCCAACTTTTTGTGAAGTGTGGGCCGTATAGTTTTTAATATCAATCACTTTGCGACCCCCCTCATCTATATTAGGTAAAAATTTGAACAGTAAAAATATCCTATTATTAACCAAACGAAATATAACATTTTAAATATAAATTTATAAATACCATCATATTTAGTAACTTAAGTTTATCAAGTTTGAACGTTATGTATCGGGTCAACCCCCTGGTTGAGAAACGCTGGTCTAAGGCAGAGGTTTCCAAACTATGGATCGTGATCATATTTTTAGTGTCACAGGTCACATTATATTTTTTAATAGGTAATACATTTTTTTAGACATATGGTCATTGATACAATATTATTGTGGATTGCCAAAATTTAAATAATTTCCAAAATGGGTCGTGCCATAAAAAGTTTGAGAACCACTGTTTTAACTTCTAAGGTAAGCGGTAACATCGTTTTTAGCTTCTAGACATTCTCTATAATTTTAATATTACGTGATTATTTTTGTCGTATCGACATTTATCAATTTATCAAAAGACAATTTGAAAGGTTGTTTTGAAAAATTAAGCCTTTATTCCAAATGTTGTTTCCTCCTCTTAAAAAGAAAAATATTTCACTTGATGTCATTAAATGTTCTCTGGTGTTATTTCCTTTTGATACTGAAGAAGCAAAATGCAAAGACATAGATGCCGTTCAAGCAAAGATGGAAATATTAATTGGGGTATGTAATGATAGTGATTCAAATACATTTGATACTCTACTCTCTTAAAATAAAATCTAAAGAAATGTAACACATTTTACCATAGGTTAATAAAATCTGTAAATTAGCCTTGACTGCACCAGTAAGTGTAACAACAAATGAAAATACATTTAGAAAAAATTTTCTATTTGATATTTAAAAAAATATCAATTAGCCACTTTGTTGATATGATTTTTAAAACATGTTCGTAAAAAAAAAAAAAATGAAAAATGTTCAGACGTTTATTTTCTACATTTTTTTAAAATTATTAATAAGTATATTATTTCAAATAGATTTTCTGGATAATCGATAGTCGCCGTAATCCCGTTCAATAAGAAATAAATTTAAATTTAAGTAAACTTTAAAAATTGTTTAAAAATTATTGACTCAACCTTAATTAACAGTTTTTGACACCAAAATTTTTCTAAAAATCAGATTTACAAAATAGATATTTTGATTTTTTTTTAAATATCAAATTTAATTTTTTAATTTTTTAATTTTGCATACAAAATGTTAAAGAATATCAAAAAATATTTTTAATACATCGCAAATGACATTTGACAATTTAAAAAAAAAAACAAACAAAAAGTTGAAAATGTTCAATAAAACAAAAGTAATTGCCATTATTAGTTCATTGTAAAACACTCTGTATATATGTAATGTACGTTAAAAATAGATACTATCATAGTATCATAAATCATAAACTAATATAATAGAAAAAAATTTTGATCAAAGCAAGAAAATAATTTTTTAAGTCTGCGAATTAATAGGTCTACCACCCCCTAATGAATTGTTGTTCAGGACGACCCTGAACGAACCCGGGTACATTGGCAATAATTCGTAAATAGATAGCTTAGAATACTCTGATTTTGTTGGTGTTGACTAGTTTGGCCGAATCCTAGAGTGCAATTTCGTAGAATCAGATTGGTTGTAGTTGGCTCTTATATAAAAGTATGCGGTTGGAGATGTTCATTTATGATTTCAAGAGAGGTCTGAGAATATAAGGCGGCTATTGAATTATTTGCGTTTAAGTTTGAGGTGAGGGCCCTAGGTGAGTCTTTTATTAAACAGTAGACCCAGGTATTTTACTAAATTTGTATGCTATTTGGTTTTTATAATTAATATTTATTTTTTTCCAAAAACTTTCATAAAGTTTTTTTTTTTTTTTAAGTTAAATAGTTATAATAATATGGGTCACAAAATTACTTTAATTTTATTACTGTAATTTTGCTTTCAAAATGTGTTATACTTAATGGTATACTGGTATGTATTTAGTACCTACATATCTGCTCTAATCCCAAAATAGTTAATTATTAGCGGTGAAACTAAATATTTAAAAAAAAAAAAAATTAAAATTATATTTCCTTATTCATAAAATACATACATGAACATAGAATATGTATTTATAGCTTATACTCTATTAGAAAATAGTACTTATAGCATTGAAATAATATATGAATATATGATAGTAATATAACTAGTATAGAACTTATATTTAAGTTTATTTTACCATCATCTTTACGACTGCAATGTAGTTAGGTACGTACTCTACCAATAATAATTTAATATTTTAAACTGAAAATAATATAATAGCAATAATAGCATAATAATTGTTTGTAAGTAAAGTTGTATTTAATAGTTCATTAATTTATAGCAAGTAATTTATGATACGGGTAGTAATAATTATCATATTTATGGTAAGTTAGTAAGGTTAGCCGTTAGGTAAGTATTTATGGTATTTATATACAATTTCGATGATTCGATATAGTATAGCGTAAAACCTATAATCGGACATGTTTTCCTTAATAATACCTAAATGTCGGATAATAAAATGATTTATAATAAATATTACGATATGAAATAGGTAGGTACCCAATTAATTTCAAAATCTAACTATTACAAATTGATGTAAGAAGTGAGTGACACATAATTATAACATATCTATTCAAGTTAAATGATTAATTTCACTGGTATTGGTAAGTAGGTATTCAATATTTCGATACAATGGTTATAATTTATAATGTATAGCTACGGTAAATTGGCAAATTATATTTTTTCATAAATTAATTTGAATAATTATCATAATTTATTAAATCTGAATATATAGTAGGTATGAATTACGAAGTAGGTACCTATATCGTATATTATAATCCATAAATAAATAGTTTAATCGACTAAACTAGGTTTCATATAATCATATTGTATACTTTGCAATTTTTACCATAACCTTTTACACTGTCGCATGTTTTGAATCTAAACAAATTATCATTGTTCCTTTTGCACTTTTTCTGCATAGTACCTACTTAAGCCTTTAAGCACAGTTATCTGCGGATACCGAATTTGCATTATAAATTTTCTACTAGGATCATTTCTTGTATTATATAATATTTATTTATTTATAAATTTATAATATCAGCAATCATTCGAAGTGATGAGTAATTTTAATTTTGAATAAATGTCAATGATACCGCTTGTACGACATGACAATAGATAAGTACTCTATCCATGCATGAAAATAATCACGATGTAATTTTCTCATTCACTCACATAAATTATCTAATTTCTCGTTGATATACGGTCATAAATTATGATTAGGTACATTACATTATGGACTTTGATTGTTTATAATATATTCAACATTTGTGTAATGTATGTTTTAATATAAATTGTAGATCGTGTGTTGAATACAATTATATATATATTATACATAATATCATAAGATGTAATGTGTGTAGTATTATTATCTTAAATAATTTTACTGTATACTACCAAAAATAATATTTTAAGATTTCTAAAAACAAATAAGACGTGATAAATATAGTAAAAGATATATTAAAAGGTATTAAGATATATTCACATTTCACATATTTCAATTATTATTCAATTGTTTTGATATAAATGTCATGGCTAATTATAGATCGAAAGCTAAAATAAATAAAATTAATTTATAAAATATCGCTAACGTAACAGGACTTTTCGTTAAATGACATCTTGTGCGTTCACAGCTATCCATTTGAGATATGAAGTTACTTTTGTGTAAACACCGGGTATTCCTAATTCTCCACAACTAATGCCCCAAGACACTATTCCAACATTAGTCCATCTTCCGTCATGTCTTTGCATCAATAGTGGACCGCCGGAATCACCCTGAAAAAAAATGGTAATTGTAATTAAGATCTTATTTTAAATATAAAATAAAAATATATGTTTCTACGTACTAAACAGGAATCTTTGCCTCCTTCGTACGACGCAGCACAAAGATTTGTTTTGAAAATTGGTTGTGAAAAAGCTGAAACGCACTGGTCATGCTCCCAAATCGGTATAACTACTTCTTGAAGCACGTTACTGACTTCACCGGCGAAAACTGTTCGACCCCAACCTAATTATAAAGTAAATAAATTAATACAACTATAATCTTAATAGTGAATACTTTTTATATGTCTCTCGGGCAATTTATTGCGGGAACTTCATCTTTTAGCAGTGAAAATATTTTAAGTGGGTACTATAGAAATATTTAATAAATTAAAATAAAAAATGACATTCAGTAACTGCCAATTATAGGATTTAATGAACTTAATATTTAGATAAATTTAATAGCAAAACTATATAGGGTGTATAATAGTTTTTTATTTAAATAAATATAATATATTAAATAATGAAGTTGTACATTAAAAGCTATTAACAGTTTTATAAATGGTAGTTGTTGCTTTTCTCACCGGCTACGACAGCGTTTTTTTTATACACTTCCATATTTGTTTTAGGTAAACAAATTGGTCGAATAAACGAATTGTAAATTGTAGGTCTGTTTAACCTCACTATAGCAATGTCATTGGCATGTGTAGCTTGATCATAGTCTGGGTGTAATCTAATATCTGTTACTCTGTAGTCAATGTATTGTGTCTCGTTGTTAGTAGTGAAATCGTATTCACCGAGTCTAACAACAAAATCTTGTTTCGTAAATCTGAAAATAAAGGAACAAATTTAAACATAAAACTGTAATGGGGGTAATGCCAAAGTAACTAGAATTTCTATAATCACCATGATACAATAGCATAATGAATAAAAATTTTAATAATATTACCATTACTTTACTTGTTGTCAGATTAGGTGAATACCACCGAGTCTAACAATCAAATTGTCTTTAATGAATCTGAAAAGTTTAGATTTAAAGTTAAATATGATGTTATGGCCACATAACGGATGAAATACTGTTAATTGAAATAAGTTATAACTAACATTAAAATTAAACTGAACTTCAACTTTATATTCAAATTAAATTTAAACTTAAATGACTTAATACAATCACCAGAAAAAAGTACGATAACTAAAAACCGCAGTAATTTCACCGCATCATTAATCATAATCATTTATGATAACTGATGAGTGGTGACTTAATAGAAAAAATTAAAAAGATAATGTGAGCTAATTGAGAAGCTATTAGCTGAATCATAAAATTAAATTATGTAAAACTAAAAATATTATATCATACGAAAATGTCTATATCAGGAACTGAATAGTCAAGGATGGAAAATTATAAATCTAAAATGTATTAGGACACACTTATTTGCAAAATCACATAAAGACAAAAAAAATCAGTGCGATCTTTGAATTTCATTTAATTTGAACTCTATTTTGAGAAAAAAAATCAACAAACATTAATAAATTCTTAATTTTTTAAACGGAACAATTCGTAATGACATTTTAATATAATATGTTAGGGAAAAACAATTTAAATAAATAACAGCTAATGGCCTTAATAGACACATGACTCGTTATAATTATCAATAAAAAAATTAATTTTATGTGAATATTATAAGTATGTTTTTTTTATATATACATATATTCATTTAAAAATTAAAATTTATATATCGTGTTATATTTTACAGTAATTTTTTATGATAATGAAATGTATTAGAAGTAATTCAATTTTTAATTTACTAGTGCACTAATATAGTAATGCTTGTATATAGTAGGAATATTTTCTATTAATCAAATTAAAGGTTTTGTATTGTATATTATAGTTACCAAAATATGTACACGGTATAATAATATAATTATTACGGAATATTTTAAATAGCATTTGTAGAATTTGTTTAATTTTTTATCAACTTAGAAATACTTTTTAAGACAATGAGCAGCAGTCAACACAAATCGTCGATTAAGCAATACTCCACCGCAGAAATTCATATAGTTTGTCGTCTCTAAAAATACCGCCATCCATGGCCAATCATTGGCTTTTGCATTTTGCACATTTAAGATGTTGGGTAAAGACTTAATGTTTTGTCCACACTCCGGTTCTTCTGGTAACGGTTTAATAGGCTCTGGTAACGGTATATTTAGAATTTTATCTAAGTTTGATTCATCATCATCATTTAAGATTCTTCTTTCTGTATTTAGTCGAATAACTTTATTGATAGGACAGCAAAAACCCATTTGTCTAAGTGAAAAAATATATAATTATAATATTTGATTGGGAAATCAGAAATTTTAAATATATTTTTCAAATACAAGTTTCTTATATTCGTATATATGCTTAACTAAAATAATCAAATATTGCATAAACATGTACAATATTCTTTAAGGAATCGCATTTAAATATCACAAGTGGTCGGTACAGATAATAACTCTATCCAGCGATAAAACTCGTCGATTCTATAAATTTATAAAATTTCACTATGCTACTTTGCTACTATGACAGGATGTCGCGTATGTGGAAATACTCAGAATAAACGATTTTTGTCAGCCCAGTACGAAGATTAGAATAATATTTAAGAAGAGATTTGAGGAAATAGTTTTTAATAAATAACATATATTATGGCATGTTATAAACTTTATTCACTTATTAATGATTAACTATGGATCGTATTTGTTTCTATAATTGAACTTAGAAAATCGGAAATTTTAATGCCTAAGCCTAACCTTGTATACTATTTATATTTGATTTACATTAAGCTATAGTTTATGTTAAGATATACGCGGCACGTCCTGTATAGTTGTCTCAAAAGTTTAGGGTGAGCACAATATTGATTAATAAATACATGAAATAATAAATCTTTTTATTTAAGTTAAATGTGGGCATATAAGCATAGTAAGACTGGAAATAGTTTATTCGACTATACGATCTACATGCATGTTATACAGGTATGCACATCGTACATGGTTATTGGTTATGTGAAGTGTGTATCCCATGCCCAGAATAACATAATAGGTACCGATTGTGTATCAATCACTGCGTATCGATTTGTTGAGAAAATTGCTGACTATTATTTATTAAACATGAAAAGGCTCAGAGTACAGTAAATATAAATTAATACAATGCAAATTAACTTAATTATAGGTACAATGTCAGCAAAACTAATTAGAACAACATGGAACCATTGTTAACTTGGAGGTAATGAAAGGGTGGTATGATCGTTCGCTTGGCGTATCAGGTGTAGCAGATTCGATTATTACGATCATGATTATTAACATACCGAAGATAATAATATGAAATGGAACGATAGATCAGACAAAACAAAGAGGAATTGTAAAGTTGATAAGGAAAGAATAATGTAGTGTCAGCATAATTACTATTAAGTTTTCTTTTGAAGTAAATAAACTTTAATTATCTCAGCCAGTGTAACAGAAAATCACCAGTACTATTCATAAGAATATGCAAAGTTGTTTTAATCTTATAATTGAACGTCTATACATATTTTAAATAATTTTAAAATTTTAATTATGTTATATTACAATTGTACAAAATATCTATATGCTTAAATATAAAAATGACTAGAATTACGATTTTAATTAGTAAATATATGATTTATGATATAACTGATATAAGAGTATCTTTAAAATCGTGCTGTATGTCTATACACATCCATGAAGAATTATAAAATTGGTAATAAAATTATAATAGTTATAACAACAATACATTTTGTAGGTGTATTATGTTGCATTGAAAACAGAATGCATGACATAAACATTTACTTTTTTAATTTTATTCGAATGTGTAACTATGTGAGTACGACTCTTATTAATATTTAAAAACACAAAAAACGAGCTGAAGATAACCTATGTAATATTAATTATTAGCTGCAAAGCTATGTTAAATGCAAACATTTTTTTTATATACGTATTTTATATTAATAAAGTTGAAATTAAATTTGCATATCTAAATAAAAATGTGGGTATGTACTTGAATATTATACTTTTTAGACAATATAAATTCAAAAATATTTTAATTTACTTTATTTAACAGAATATAAAGAATATAATGTTAAAAAAATATTTTCATTTCAATTATTAAATAAATATTTATTTTATAAATTCTGAAACGCATTGTAATATTTAAATATTTTTAAAGTGTGATATTGTGATGAATACTATATTATTCACACAACATTTATATAAATTCTTAAGTTCGTACAATAAGTTAATTATTAAATAAGGAATATATTATTTAAGAAAAAAAAAATAAATTTTTGAATATACTTAATAATAAAAACATAGTAAAGACATAGTGTTATATCATTGGGTGGCTGTTTTTTTCATGTGTATCAAGACAAAAAAAATGTATATCCTCCCACATGTTCATTGTAAATAAATAATTACAAATTGTATGTTTTAAAATAAAATTTAAAAAAATATAATAATAAGTGTATCATCATGCTCTTTTTATAATAATTATGATTTCAAATTAATTTGAATTTTAGTATATTATACTCACAATTCATTTCCAAAACTACATTTTTGCTGGTTTTGTGGTTCCAAATTAATATCACAGTATTCAGACTTAGAAACACATTCCATGTCTTGGCGGCATACTTGATCACCCTAAAAAGATTAAAGTTGATCAGATAATGTATTAAGTAATTAACCGATAAGTGTTTAATTGCTATTTTAATATAATAATAAATAGCTAAAGGCTTTACTTGTTTCCTGTGTTTTTCATGTTTAATTCGCACTAGTTGACCTGATAATATTGATAATAATAATCAATACGTTAATTAATTAAAATGTACAATTATTTTGAATTATTTTTTTAAATATTTACATAGTTATGATTACCTGCAGTTACACCAAGACTAACAAAGAGAAATATGCATAGTGGTAACAAGTAAACGTCAATTTTTTTTAATAATAACATTTTAAAACAATAACTTGTTCGTTGTTAGCATCCCAAGAACAATGTGTTTCGTTAAGTACAGCGTGCATGATGTGTGCTCTTTAAAAACCTATATATGGATATGATGTCATAGGGACGATATAATAAGTAATAATATGAAAAAAATATATAAATATATGTATATATATACTCGTAAGTTTTATTGGAATAGTAAAAATAAACTCGTTTAGTCAATCATTCAAAATGTATCTTAAACGTGACTTCTCTACTTTTATCACTTTATAATACTATTACATATCACTGCTATATATAAATTGTTTGACTCATTGTCTATCATTATTCTATTATAAAAACTTAAAAAAATAAATACGTTTATATTCGATTAACAATGTTAAACTATTCATACATTAAAATTAACTTAACTGTTATAAAATTGAAAAAAATAAATAAATAAAACATAAAGGTTTAGACTGCTGTTGCAAATATACAATATTTTTATTCTGGATGCATGCATTTACAGTTAGTTAGGTCATTTATAATTATTGACTCAAACAGATATTAGTGGATTTTAAAAACTGAATAAGTTGTACCTATACCATTGTGGATAATAGCAAATTCATTTTTAAAATTAATTCATGATGTAACTAATATTTAAATAAGTTTTTTAAGTAAGTTTTTTTCGTCAAACGATATAGTCGTCGTACTTTTATAAACTATAATTTAACTCCAAAAATATATATTATACGATGGTTGTATCAAATAATAAAAGAGAAAAAGTAACTTTGTTAAAAAGTTTAAATGATCGATTTTGTGTATAGCGGTAGAGCAATATAATATATATTATGATACACGCGTGCATAATATTTAGATAGTTCATTTATTTTATTGCAAGAAAATTTAGCTTATTTATGATTAAATCGTTAATGTTAACTAATTTCTGCTGAGAACAAATTTCGGAAAACTATGTGCATAATTTTAATAAATTTGATAAGTTTAACTGCAGATTATTATAAAGCTATATTATAATGGATTAATGAATTAACGATGGCTCTGCAATGATTATGTAATTACTTACTTGCTTAAATATTATTATTAACTCCGTGATGGTTTTGTTGCAGTGACCAAACATACAGCATACACAATGATATTTTATGCAAAGTTTAATATAGTGTAGGTATTTTCAATCTTAGTTTAATAGTTATATTAAATATTATTATAATATTCAATTATAAAATATATAGAATATCTAATACAAAAGTAGCAAATCAAAATGTGTATATTGCATTCATTAAATTGAACCAAATATAAATTGTAAAATAATAATAACCTAAAATATCTAAAGCAGTTAAGCCCTTCTTTATCCATAGAATTAATATATTTTAAATTTTCAGGGTATTAGTTATGTCTATAGATAAAGAAAATATTTTAATAATTCATCATAGTTGAGTAGTTGACATAATAACTCAATAATATTATTAAATTGTGTTTTCATAATTACTACTATGAAGTTTGATAGGTACCTAGGTCATTAGGTTAATCTAAACTAACTTTTCTGTTACCTTAGATAGCAAATATTAAATAAAATAAATATCAAAGAACATAATATACATCCGCTCAAATTATGTGCTTATACTAACTAAATGATATGATAAAATTTATCACTTTGTTTTTCAACAGTTTTGATAATTTTTTTTAACATTTTAAAATATTTCAAACAAAACTAGTTCCACGTGTCTTTAGAAAATTGAAAAAGTAAAACGGAAACACGTGTAATACCTATAAATGTACAAAACACATAAATATACAATATACATATAATTTATTGTATTTTTTTTTTTTTTTTTTATGGATATCATAAAAAGACAAAAATATAGAAAGTAATCGATAAAATCTAATAAAAATAATAAATAAATATTTTTTGCTCTTGAAAATATACAACAGCATATTTGTATATAAATTGTTAAAATTGTTAAAATATTTGTATAATGTATATACTGTTTTCAAAATGAAATAAAATGAAATTTTTATGAGAGGGGAATTTGGGACTTTCGCATCAATCGAACTAAAGTATCTAACCTACTATACACGATTTTCTATTCCATTATCTTTTTTTTTTTAGTAACAGACGATCGTATGTACGTCGATTCCACTCGAGTTCAGCATCAGGCGTTAGTTGTCGCATAGGAAATAGAAATGTGTGAAGAGCTGACAAAGTAAAAAAAAAAAAAAATAATAAGCTCTAGAGAAGTATTTACACACACTGATACTATACGAGTAGACATAGTATAAAATACTTTTGGTTTTTATTGCGGTTCTGCTGCCATAATAAGATGTCATTATGTTTTTGCTACTTTGCATGACACATTACAATATGCAGTAAAAATCTAAGGTATAACCCAGCTGTGTACGTGAAAAACATCATAATACAAGATTTTAAACGACAGAAATAAACATTTTTATTTTAGTTTTAAAATTGTTATTTTGTGTTATGTAGTCAATGCTTAAAATATTTAAATTTTCTTCAAAACGTTTTAAGCCACGTAATTTAAAGAAAAAAAAACTAAATAAAATGTCTACAAGCCATGCCGGTATAAAGATTGCCTTTTTTTTTTATACAATTATGTATAAACTAATATGTATATATATTTGTCCTTTGGGGTCTTTGAGCTCTTCATTAAAACCATGATCAATACTGAAATACAAAATAAAGTAATAACGCGTTAGAACGGACACCGTTTTTTTTTTGAACTCTGTTTACGCCTTAGACATTTTTCTAAAAAGAATAAACTCATTAATCTTCAAAAATACTTAATATAACACTCGCGTTTTATTTTTCTACGTTCTTGTGGCCCAACAATATACGTTTAATTAGTCCCCGAAGTTATGAGTAGAAAAAGTCCTCACTCACGTGCACCTACATAATAATTAATAATATATACAGTAATATGTACATGATATATTACGCTACGAGTATACACCAAATGATTACAGTTAAAACAACAATTTGATGTTAATCAAAGAATTTTTTTTCAAAAAAACAATGGGCTGGCCAAATCATTACATTCTTTACAAAAAAACTATGTTTGCAGACTAGGCATGTAACCATGTTATGATAAGTAAATCTAGAATGTTAAATTATTAACACGCGGCATACGATAGATTTCTTCTCGTAGATTGTAATTATAAATCGTTGTATAATGTTGTATTAAAGATAAAGAAGTTGATTTTTGTATATATCTACGAGTATAAATTCGAAAAGGACATAAAATAACTTATCGAATAGTTATAAGAAACTTATGCAGCCGACAACGCATCAATACATAAATGTAATTTTTTAGACAAAAGCCATAATATAATAAAACTAATTAGCTGTTTAGACCGGTATAAATCGAATTCCTATCAAAGCCGCTAACAAAAAGCTAATAAATAGAAAAAAATTAAACAATTAAATTCACAGGTCAGCCGACTTCGTATTTATTTTCCGTTGATTACGACGTACCTAATTAAAAATAATAAATAATTTATTTTTCCAACTAGTTCACGATTGCGTTACACCTAATCTAACAAAATCGATTTACGTAGGTAGTAGGCACCCAACAATTAATAGTACGAATCCTGGATAGCTTATTGATAATGTTAAGATCAGAAGTCACAGTGGCGCAAATAGGAATTTTAAGGGTGAAAATAACCAGTATTATGCGTAAATATGTTGTTATTAGTCTTATTTTTATCTCATTGATTTTATAATTTCTTATTTTATACCATATTTTATGATAACCTGTATAATATAAATGTTTGTAAACAAGTCTTGTATGCAATAAATTGTTAATTTTAAAAAACTAAAGTTTAAACTAAAGATTATATAATCATAGTTATATAAATTATATTGTGGTATAATATTAATATTAAGTTCTACTTATTTTTTTTTTTCAAATATCAATGTGATTTATTGTCGATAATAAGTAAGTTATATTAGTTATAACTATTCTAATTTTCTAATATCTAATTTTTGTTTATTTTAATATTTTTTCACTAAATAATAATACTTAGTTAAATAAAATTATTTTATACTCACGTGTTTCTAATATATTAAAATTAAATATAAATATAATATAACATATTCGTCTATAAATCATTAGATATTTATAGTCATAAATCATAATACTATATTTCTGAAAATAATAAGTCATAAATAATGTAGAAAATTATACTGTTCAATTAAAACTTTTTTAAAACCACTGTGTAAATTGTTAGATAAACAGGTACCTAGTCTTGTTTTTATTTCATTAGCTGCACACGTGTAAAGTCACCTATGTCACATTTTATCGTAAATGTTTATATTACATGAATTAAATTTATCATTTAAATTTATAACTAAAAAAAAAATTAGACGATCACAAACCATATTTTCATAAAATTAATTAAACAAAAAAAGCATCATCCATAAATTTTAAAATAATATCAAATAATAAATACCTATAGTATCATAAAAGTATTCATTTGAAATTGAACTTCGCTCTACTATTACAGGTGAGTAATCATTTAAATGTATATTATTATAAACTATAAAGGGACATAATATTAATAATATGTCTATGGCGTAACCAGAATTTTGTTTTAGAGGGGGGAAGGGTTGATAATTTGTTATATTGTGGAACTCCGGGGACGTAACCTGGATGCGTAACTATAGTGTGTTAACTTTATCTTATGTCAGTTTAACTATTGATTAGATTTACTTAATTTGTGGTTTAAAATAATATCAAAAATACATTTTTATATAGCAGGTATATAAAACTTAATGATGTAACTTATCTCCTATAAAAACATTCTGTCTACTGCCGATTATTTTATTTTAACATATATCTCGACATGTCCAGTGCTTACCTTCATTTTTGTTTAACATATTTGATAGACCTTTTAATACTTGCTTAGATTATTTATACTATTTAAGGAGTGTTTAATGGCGATAAATATATCATATTATAAGTATAACAAAATATCATGAAATTATCATTATTTTTTAGTACATAATTTTAAGGAACTAAAAACAACTAAGAAT